GTAGGGAAATATATGTACGAGAAGACCTGAAATTCCACTTTTGTTATCTACCTGCTTATTGGGAAGAAAGTTATTCTCACTTTTTTAGTTTGGATGCATATGTAAGATGTTTTTCTTACTTGTCCCTGCAAGTATTAGTAAAAAGTTTGAAAGGGAGCATTCAAACCATCAGTGTTCAGAGTACACTGCTGTTGGCATGACGTTCAGCCCTCCGAGCTTATCTGAATATCAGTATCTTGGCTCCAGTTATTTCCAAAAAAGCCCTTCCCCAGATGACTACAATGATGGCAATAAGAATGCTTTTTAGAGGGGTGCACTGATTAGGATGACCAAGTATCCTAGTTTGCTGCTCTTCCGGAAAACATGTATTAATTATCTCACTAAGGAATAGATGACTTCAAAACTTTAGGCTGAATTTTTTTTTTAATGTGGATCCTGACACTCAGCAGGGCTACAAGAAGATTCAAAGAGAGATCTGAAGAATTTAAAAAGCCTTTTCTTAAAGGTAACGCATGACTAACTATAAAACATAATGAATTAAATTATGAAGAAAATGAATGCAAATAAAGTATACAAATTTATTTCCAGCAGCAGTTCAGTTTCTCTAAAGTGCAAAACTCCTTTAGTTACAAGTATTAATACCAGGCAGCTGCCAGGATGCAGCTACCAGGATTTAACTGCCTTAAATGGCAGGTAACGGCTTCGTTTCTTCCTGGGAGGGGAATGAATGCTCATATCTGCATTTAATAATTATGGTCAGTTCTCAGCCTACCATTGGAAGGAACTGAGAGAAGCAGTTGTTCACTGACTAAGAATGCAGAGAGATTGCAAGGATACCAGTTCTTATTAAAAGAAAATTTAACTAGGTGCAATTATCTATTTTTATAAAGAGAAAGCAGTTGGTAAAATTCTGTCAGTTCTATACATTAACTAAATTTAGTAATATAATCAAGTGGGTATTGCAGTATTTTAGTTTTCACAACACTGTCCCCATCTGGTAGCTCATACATATGCTGATGCATTGAGCCTGAAATTCACAGTCAGATTCTTGTGCAGACTGAATCTGAACATGTAAAGATCATGACTGAAACTGCAGTTTGTGTCGGAACATTCACTGCTGTGAAGACACTTTGGGAAGTGAGAATACACAAGATAAATGAAGAATTACAGAAAGAAAAGGAATTCAGACAGAGGTCTGCAGGAAGGTAGGTAAATTGTAGATCTGTAAGTATGTGAAAAGCTAGACTATATGTTACATTTCAGAAAACTATAATTGGTCATTTCAAACTCATCCGGAGTCCAGTTCTTTAGTCGTTACTCCAGGAGAATTCCCAATGCTTAGAATCTAGCAATATGGTCAGGTCAAACCAAGAATTGTGTTCTGTGATAAAAGTATTAGCATGTATACTAAATCCCCTAAATTCAGATATTAGAATCCTCTCCTGTGTGGATATTCTAACCAGTGGAGATTTAATTTGCTATGCTTTCTTCTCAATGGAGGCATTAACAGGGTCGCTTGGTCTTCTGTCTGGCCAGCAATTTCATGAAACGTGAAGAAATTTAGCATTCTGTTTTTGGAACCCTTGCTAATTTGTCAGATGTGTTTGGAATGGAATAACAAATTCAAAAGTTACTAATGGAAAATACAGGCAGAAAGAAAGAGATTTAGCCTAATTTTCGTAATTCTTGTTTAAGTCCCCACATCAAGCTAAAAGAATCCCTAGCTGATTGACCTGTTTTGATTGTGCTTACATTTGGTGGAACTGAAGGCTTTCTTTTTAGGAGACTGCTTCAAAATTTATGGCTTTGGAACTTAATTTCACATGACTTCATGTTCTGTTGCCCTGCTGCTGCCACATGATGAAAGTGAATGAAGTTATGTCTTCCTTCTGACTGTAAATTTGAAGAACTGTAAAATAGAATTCCTATAAATTACCTCAGCCAAACATTACTTTATGTTCTTGTCTTCCCTAAAATTGATAGTATATTTAGCATCCAGATATAATAAATGTTGTTTGACATCCAAAAAGGCTATGGATGTCTTTTTGTTCCAGAAAATAGAAGGGATAGTAATTATTACCTGTATTCATTGTTGCACCACTGACAAATCTTCTTTCCCTTGTAGGCTACTACTTGTCTGGGAGGAGAGAGCTGCTTTAGCAAAGCTCAAAGAAAAAGTTATTAACAAAGATGGAAGAGCAATTTTAAGGATAGAGGAAGAAGAATGGAAGGTAGCGTTGATAGGAATGAATATTGCTTGGGTTGGATGACTGATGCATTAGAAAACTACTATTTACAACTTTACACTTAAGAGTTGTACTATTTTTAATCTATGAAGTGCTCACTGTGTGCTTTGCTAACAATGAATTGAGACACACTGTTGTGAGAGTGTAAAAGCAAGCTGATATTTTTAGTTCTGAATATTAAGCATTACTCTGCAAAAATATAGCCCAAAAGGCTTTTCTGCATTAGAAATTATTTACACTGCAAATTATGAGTTTAATTATGTAAATCCTCATTTAACATTAACACACCAGAACTACTGAAACAGATCAAGGTGAAATCCCTCTGCGTTTAGGTGCATGAAAATATTTCTTACTGTTGTTTACTTTCTCTAAGAGTGAAAATGAGCCAGTAGATTCCCAGAACACTATTATTCTTGTTTCTAATGCATGGGGGGAAGTGGCTAACTGTAGAATCCACAACAGAGTGGAAGCTAATAGTCTGTTCAGAGCTATGCAGAAATGCAGATGCCAGTTCTACGAAGTGAGGAGAATTAAGACCATGTTGAGGCCAGAGAGTGACAGCAACACCCGGCAACACCCTGGTGGTCCATAAGCCAGTGTTCCTTGTTCAGAACTCATAGCATACAGACATTGTAGTTTTTCTATCCCTTAGCTCTTCTGCTCTCAGATGCTCACTGTTTTTCGTAACAGAATAGGAAATACAATTTAGATCACCATTTAAATGCAGAAAGCTATTTAGAGCAGTTTCATCTTCAGCTATATTGCCTTTGTTTAGAAAAAAGAAACAAACAAAAGCAAGCCTGAGGCCTTTCAAGCAATGACAGTAGTGCAGATAACTAAATCCTGAGAGCAAAAAGTGGGCAGGTTAAATCTGTGGTCAGAATGACCCGCACTGATGGTGTTCATTTTGGGATGTTGTTACAGTGTAGCTTGAGAAGCTATACTGTAGCTTTTTTTTCCTTCTTTTTTTTTCTTTTTTAATCACGAGACTGTTACTGTTTCAAATAAAACTTTTACCTAAGCCTGTATTCTTGTTGTATACTAAACTGAATTTCTTCTGGTTCATATTTCTTACCTTAGACACTACCTTCGTGCTTACTGAAACTAGTCCATCTCCAGGAATGGCAGCTTCACAGAACTAGTTTGCAGAAAATTCCTCAGTTCATTGGAAGATTTCACAATCTTGTTGTTCTGGATCTATCCCGGAACTCAATTGAAAGTGTACCTAAAGAAATTGGTGAGCTGTGCTTTCTTTTTTAAGCTGCTTTTCTAACAAAATTAATCTTACACAAACATGCCATTTTTGTGCACTTTGCCTGTCTAACAATCCTATTGGGTAGTTAGAAAACAGACGATTTAAATCTAACAGTGAGATAGAGATCTTAAAACCACGGATTCCCTATAACTTAAAAAAAATGGCCGGATGAAGGAGACATCTTTATGAAAGCTTCCCATGAGAAAAAAGGTTGTAAGCGCAGCAGATACTAGACATCAGAATGCAGCTAGAAAAGTGATACTGAAAAATAGGCTTCATTGTTCCGAGTCCATGAGTAGGCATGAGTAGCCTATGTTCCTAAGTTGTTTTGGGTTTTTTTTGGTAGCACTCATTAGTGTGCATTTCGCATTAGAGTGCAGTTCTGTACTAAAGAGTCCTGAAGTCCTACTATTTGAATTTCAGTGAATCTTTTTTTTGAGAACGCAGAGCACTTGTATAACAGTATAAGGATAACAGAAAACAAGTAATATTGTACTTCAAATAGAATGAATGTGAACATTTTTCATTTCTCATTTGTGCTCTCCGCAGGCCAGCTGACTAGCCTCCAAGAGCTGCTTCTCAGTTACAATAGAATAAAGTCTGTTCCTAAGGAAATAAGTAACTGTGTGAGTCTGGAAAGATTGGAACTGGCTGTCAACAGGAGTATCTGTGATCTTCCTCCTCAGGTTTTGACAGACTGCTTTGTTTTGTTTAGTTTAATGCATATTTTGAATTTATCCAAAACCAATTATCATTAAACGTTGCACTCCACGTTTTCAGATTTGCTTTGATATTCTGATTTCACAACTACTCCACAGAAGCACATATGTGAACGATATTTATATGACTAGCCAAACTGAAGCCACATGAGAAGGACGTACATATACCTGAGCAGTTGAAGGAGCCAATCTTTATTTTGTCCAGATAAATGACTTGGTGGTGCATATAGGACAGTGATATACTTGTTAATTTGTTTAGGCTGAAGGTCTTCACCGATTCACCCCACTGAGGATCTGACACCTTAGCACAGAGAAGTTCCCTTTTATGGTTGAGAATACAAATTCATACCATATGCCAGGACACAACTGTAAGCGTCTTTACCAGAGCTGCTAGCTATGAAAAGGGTTTGTGTGAGTTATACAAGTGCCTATGCACAAAGAGTTGAATGAATGTTGTTCTGAGATATTGGAAGCAATTAAGAGAGAATAAAAACAACTGCTTACCTACTATTGAGCTTTAAGTTGGACTGACCTAAATGTGAGAGACACCTGAATCTCTTAAGTATTAGTCTTTTAGATAGAGATGACAAGTATGTAACTGTATTTACTTGTTTTAATTTATTTAAAAAAACAGTAGTGGCAATAGTTGACAGCAATCAGTGCTTTGCAAAATTGAGTGAGTCCAACCAGTAATACCTAACAACAAATCTTCAAATGAAAATATACACTATTAATCAGAACCCAGAATTTACAAAATCTATGTGAATACAGGTTACGTGGTGTAATGTCGAGTGATAGCTTTTAAATTAACACCTCATAGGAAATACATACTTCTGTCCTATCAAAACTATGGTGATGTGAACACCGTGAAGCTTTGGTTATATGTACTTGAGTGGCATTCAGTGTTTAGACAGTTGGACCAGATTTGAAAAAAAACATCTTTGCATCACTTGAACATTGTAAAAGCACCTGAAGGCATGATTCACCAAAGGACTTAGGTGCTGCAATACTGAATGATGCGATGTTTAATTTTTAGAATGTCTTGCCATAGTAGTAGACTTCACAGCATGGAAAGCGTCTAGGTTCACTCTAGGTCCATGCGATTTGAGCCGTAAAAATCAAAACAGTTGATTAATGAAAAATGGCATATTGCATGGAGAAACACGACTGAGTATGAAATACTGAGGACAATGGCGTCTTTAAAATTCCTTTTCTTCTCAAGGCTTGGGGTGTATCTGCGTGGTAGTCACGGCATTCAGCTTCTCAGCAGTTAGGGCACTCACCACCAGGTGTGAGATAAAGTTCTTCTGCCTGATCAGTTTCAAACCAACCTACCTTCCAGGTTAGAACTGTAATTGTTAGGTAGTATCAGCTAATGTAAACTCAGAAACCATTCCGTGTTTACCAACTCCAAAATGTGTTGTAATGTTTTTCAATTGTTTCTTTTTTTCAGTCAACATTATTACAGCACTGCTGTAATGAAACAGCTATACAAACTTGCATTAAATCTCTCTTTATTTTCAGCTCAGTGATTTAAAGAAGCTTTCACACATAGATCTGTGCATGAATCAGTTTACTACCATCCCTTCAGCTCTTCTCAACATGCCAAATCTAGAATGGTTAGATATGGGGGGAAATAAACTCCAGGAGCTTCCTGATGCAATTGACAGGTAAATAAATCTCAAAGCTCACATCTTAGTCTCAATTCCATTGCACTGAAATTCTAATTACTAAATCCTACTTCAAAAGATGATTTTAATGTTAACCTCACTGCAAACTTAAGATTTATCAGCCCTAATGTGATATGTTGGATGAGCTGGAATAATCCATTCAATAAACAATCCATTCAGTATCAACTATCAAGTTAAGCATTTCTTGCCAACGGCATTTTCGACTAGAGGTTAGGTGATTATCTTGAATATGGGCTTTTCTTTGAGAATTGTTGTATTCTTTATGCGAGTCCTTTAGGTGGCTGTAAAAATGAATCAATTACTTTATATTAATGATGGATAAGATTAATTTTCTAAATCTTGATTGATTGCACAAATACCTGTTTTACAGAATGGAAAATCTCCACACTTTATGGCTCCAAAGGAATGAGATAAACTCTCTGCCAGAAACCATTAGCAATATGAAAAATCTTAGTACTCTTGTTCTTAGCAACAACAAACTTAAGGATATCCCAGCTTGTATGAAGGACATGACAAATCTGAGGTAAGAAAAAGCAACAGAAATATAAATAAAAATACTAAAAGATAAGTTTTAAAGCCTCCCTTGAGTTGTGTATCACAGAGTGATGCTAAGGAAGTGGAAAAGGCATGTCCACAGTTGTACAGATGGACATAATGCCATATAAATCAGCATAATTACACAGATTCACAACCGTTGAGGGTCTGGCCAAGAAAGCTCTGTGTAGCACAACTCATTTAAAGAAGTAAGCCATGACAGTTACAGTCCCAAATGTGAAAGGAGACCGTAATACATTTTCTCATTCTGAAATGCCCAGTTCGAACTGGCCTTTTATATCACTCTCTAAAGCCAAGAGCTAGGAGGAAAAATATATAACAAGCATAGAAATGACAAAAAGTAGAACTTTGGCACTGAAAAGTCAAGCATTCAGAATTAAGCAAAAAGGATTAGGTATAGAGATATAGATGAAACTCTCCAGTACTTGATTGAAAAATAAAAGAGAATGAATGTAAATTTTTAATTGGTAGAATTGGAAATACTAGTTTGTATACTGTGACAGAAACTTTCCTGTTGTTTGCATTTTCATTTGAATTACTGGATGCTGGCCATTTTGGAGAAAGAATGCTAGTCTAAATAAATCACATCTAACCCAGTAAGACAATTCCTGTTTTCAGATGTTTTGGAAGAAGCAGCACCTCTTTAAACAAATACATACAAGTATAGGCCCAGGGATGGACCAAGAACAGAGGGAGACAGGGCTGGCTGTTGCCTTGCAAAGCTGGGAGGATGCAGGCAGTTGCACTCTTGTTCTCATCCACTCATCTGTTTGTGGAAGCTCAGTAAGGCTGACAATGGGGTGAAAACCTGAAGACAAAGCGATGAGGACTGCGATGTTTTCTCCCACCGCAATCAGCTACAGTTAATATAAGACATCTCCTTAGCTTAGTTTACTTAATACTACTAATATAGTGGTGGGTTTAGTATAAGAAAAGACTTGTTTTATTTTGCTTGATATACTGTTTGAGGAATCTTAATTTAGTTTCAAAAGAGTTGTTCTCTCTGGACAAAACCTATTGCAAGAGTAACCTTTTCTGGTGAACTGTCAGATTCGTCAACTTCAGAGACAACCCACTGGAGTTAGAGGTAACACTCCCTCCATGTGAGAATACGGAAGAGGAGGAGCAACAGGAAATGTTCGGCATTGAATTCATGCACATGTATATCCAGGAGTCACTCAAGAAAACAGGTATGGCTTTTTATTAATTCTAATCCCTCTGGAATACAGTGAGGAAGGGAAGGATAAACTGGCTAAAAGAAAGCTAGGATATGCATACAAATGAAACATGAATAATCATCTTAATAAATGATTAACATTTTCCAAAAATCTGTAAGCAGGGGCACTTTTATCAGGAGTATCAGGTCTTCACATGAACAGCATATATTCTAGTAGGAACATACTGGAACCATGGAACACTGGAATAAACATGCCTGAGTTACCTACAGCCCGGATAACTGGAAGTTGATGACTGTCTCTTGTATTTGCAATTTAATTAGAGTTTACATAGTGTAGGTCTTCCAGCACTGTTTGTCTCATGAAGCTCAACCTTCCCTATTTTTGGATGTTGTACAGATGGGGACTACCAAAGAAGGAGGTAAGGGAGAGATGCCTATGTTCCCAACATACAACATTTTTTAGCAATGAATTATCAACACCTGATAAACAGGTATTTCTCACAACTTGCTTTCCATGACAGAAAATCCAGTCACCTAAACAAAACACCCCCACAATTTCATCCCACTTCTAAATCACTGACAAAAAAAAGCTGTTAGTAGTCTCAAAGGTAACAGCTTAAAGGTTGCAGTAAGAGACCAAAATAAGCACTTTCAAACAGATACGCAGGTGGCAGCTGTTACTTGCAGAGAGAACTTCATGCATTGCAGGTATAAAATGTTCCCTCTGATTTTAATTCTATGTATCACGAAGGCTTAAAAAACGAATGACTGAAATGCTCTTGATTTAGAATGCTACGCCAGCTTTTTTCTTATCAGTATTTCATGAATGAATAATCAAATTAGCAAAAATATATCAAGATGGCAGTTTACAAGTAAGTTTTCTTCCTTAACAGATTCCTCTAGCAGCATGGGCTGATGAAAGTACCTAGGCCTACTTAAATAATTAAGAGGAAATACAAAGCTATCCTGAACTTCAAAGTGAAAATAAAGTATGTTAATTTTTCTTATTTTAACCCATTGTCTTTCAGGAAATCTGGAAAGTTGTACTTCTGGTCCTTCTCCTATCATAAATGCTAATGAATAAAGAATGTAACTGTGAATGGAAGAAAATATCAAGTATACTTCTTCCTAACAAAGAGGCGTACAACAGGTTTCAAATATTCTTATGGATTTTATTTTTCCACTGAGGAGAACTAGCTTGCATATTTATAGTTCCCAGTGAAACTGGGAAATAGGAGACCTTTTCCTGGGTACAGGAAAGACTAAAACAGTTTTTTTTGTAAGCAAGGAATTAGCTTTTTAAAAAATCCAGATAAGTTTTATAGGGTTTTTTCCTACCAATTCCAAATCTATCTCCTGTCATGTAGTTGGCTCTGGTATCAAAGATGGACTTGGGACAGCTGTCAAGAGGACATTCTCCAAGGACACAGCAGACTCTGTATAATACTGTAGTGCAGCCTTGTATCCTCGTTGTTGTAAATACTCAATCCGTCCATGATCAATCAGCAGTTTACAGAGGCAACCTATCTCCTTTCGTTCTTCAACAGTAAGTATCCTAATTTCATAAAAAGGAGGAAAAGAACAAACAACATACGTCAGAAGGACAGTTTTGTTAATTAACATTAGTAGTTCAAGCTTAGAAAAACTACTGAAATCACTGTAAGTTCACTTCAATTCAGGAAAGCATGACTGTTTAAATATTTTGAAATGTATGTCCATGAAAATTGTATTTTTAAAGTAGAATATTTCTATAAATTTAGTAATTAAAGTGTTCGATAAATGAGTCATTTTGAGGACCCAAAACAATTTCATACACCACTATACATAATTTTGCTTTTCTGCAGGACTCCATTTGCTAGAAAAAAGATTACATACCCTTGTAAAGTATCAGAACCACTCTCTGTCTTGCTGAATGTTTGCTCATGTTCTTCTGTGTCGTTAGTTTGATCTTCACTTTCTTCACTTGTAGAGGCTTTGGTTGTAGTTTCTCGCATGCCACAAGTAGCCCAGCTACTCATTCTCTGAAAATAATGAAATTCTACTGGTCCAAGTCCTACTGATTTAAAGAACTCTCTGCCTACATAATGTGTCCAGTCACACTTGTGATGGCAGCACAGTGCAATAACAATGCCAGCTACAGGCTTACAGTTGTCTTTGTTGCTTTCATTATCAGCAGAATCGTTAGAAGCCACCTCTGTCTTATCATCCCTAGAGCGTTTTGGGGCAGGCTCTTCATTTTCTCCATCACTGCAAGTTGTGTAACTTTCAACCAAGCATCTCAAAGCAAGATCTGGGAAAAAACAGATATCACCCCCCCCCCCAAAATAGTGGTGATCACCATGCCATTATTTATACAGGCTGTATCATGGTTGGGAATGTACTTCCCACCAAGAATAATAAAAGTGTACATCACAAACTAAGCCAAAAAGCAATTTTAAGGATAACTAAAAATTACAAGCATGCTTTGAAAACATGAAAACCCTAAATGCTAAATGAATGTTATGTGACCTCTGGAGCTACTAAGGGCTTATCCTCTTGAATATTTGTTCTACTCAAGTGAATTTGAAATACTTTGGTTAACAAACTGGCATATTGTAGGAGGATCTCCTCTCTGTAAAACATGCAAGTATTTCCTCTAAGAGTTTGATATCTAGGACACAATCAATTTAATATGGACACGTACTTCTTAAATGCTTAACTGTCTCACCTTTGTAACAGTACCTATATAGGTGTCGTATTTGAGATGTCTTTCTCTACTTAGTAGACACATAACATTAGAAAAAGTGTATTAGTTGAAAATTATCAGGACAGAAACACATTCTTCTAATTTGTTTGCTTGGGATACATATTCAGACAGCCAATACAAATTTAGAAAGAATAATATTTCAGCATAGAGGCGATGATGTTAAAAAAAGCCAGAAACAAAGGATATTTTCAACAGTTTACACATACATGACCCAGGCCTCCATACGCTCTTCTTTGTTCTGCTCTATAGAAAACAAGAAAGGTTCTACTTCTGTCTAAAGTAGCCTTGTATCTATTATCCATTTACTGTTCCACTGAAGTCAACAGATATTTAGAATATAATTGCTACATTCACCAACAAAGGGTTAGAGGGCAAGAAAAGCTTAAAAGGACAGCTTGGAAGATCAGTCCATTCAGACTGTAAGATTTAGCATCCTAATTTTCTGCATTTAACACATATAATTCATACCTGTCGCAGCACCACACAAATGCTTCCCAATTCCTACCACCGGTAGTTTTTTCTTCTCCAAAATAGGTACCTTATCTGGGGGGAAAAAAAAACCCCACGAAAATAAACAAACACACACAATCCACAACAACCCCAGAACTTCTATTATTCTAGTCGGGGCAGTATTTTTTCTGGATAATATAATTTCAGCACACTTTAAAAAAAGAAATAAATGTTTACCACTACTAAAAATAGTGATCTGTACATACAGTTATAAGCTATTAAAAGGAAAGGTTTTTTTTCTTAAACAACTCAACCTTGTCCAAGGCAAAGAATGTATTTTAATGCTGTTATGAAGCAATACGATTTTGTTTCTGAGCAGCAACACTACTATATAGCAGTAAAATGGTTACCAGAGAACACTGGACTGATTTTCCTTAACAGAATTATCTGCAGCCCAGAGATTAGCTCCAGCTAAACAGTAATATAAATACTTTGCCTTTTATTAAAATGAAGTATTAGAAATACAGGATTTTGCATTTATGCTAAGATAGTTACATTTATCTATTTAAGCATTTCAGCCTTTCTATACTGCCTACGAAATGTAAATGTGACATTAATGCACCTCCTAATGACAGGTGTTCCCACAAATTCTATATATGCATAGCATGTAGTTTGCATTGATATGCAAACATTGATATGCATAGCGTATCAATGATATGCATGACTTGCTTCATTCCACACACCTAAAACAAAGCATGCAAAGGTTTTTAATCCTGCAAGTTCTAAAAAACCTTAAATGTTTTTGTTTTGGTATTTCTCACCTATAATGATGTCCTTTAAGTGTATAAAAAGCAGAAAATTTTAAATCCCCATTTAATATATATGTGTGTGTGTCTGTATATATATGTATATACACACAGCATTAATGTGTCCAAGCAACCACTGAGAATAATCTTCAAAACCAAATACATTTAAGCATGCTACATACAAATTGACTTGAACTCCAGTATTCGAAATCTAAAATTAAGCCTCTCTTTCAGAATTACGCAAGCCAAGAAGGAACTTACTTAAACATAAGTGTTGAATATCAACTTGAAGCCTTTCAAATATAGAATTTCTCCTTTTATGTTTTCCATCCACCTGTGTAAACAGAACAAGATCATTAAGTAGGGCTAGCCACTAATAATTATAATTTTGCTCCAGGTATTAATGCCAGACTTTTTACCTGTCAAGTCAACATCTGCATATTTCCAACGTTAGACACCAGGATTTTTTTCTAATAAATTTGCTATCGGCAAGGTATGGAATGTAGGCAATCGCACTTCCAAAACATTTAACGTTTCAAAGGCTTTATGTTGTTTTTGAAGATAAAAAGCAAATACTAACAGCTTCAATGACAGCAGTTTAAAAATGATACTCTGCTAACATGACAATATCCTCTCTTACCTTGAATCTTGTAGTTGCCCTTTCCACAAGCAAAAACTGAACATTGTCAACATTCTGTAAGGCAACATCAACCCAATGGGACAGCTTTCCTCGCCCAGCTCCAAACTCAACAAAACATCTTCCTGGACCAAGTAAATGTAATTTTTCCATGTTACCTAAAATAGAAGCCTACAAACATCAAAAGGTTATTTACAAACCAAGCAAATATATACACTGTGTACTGTAATGCCTGATAGAAAAATGATTACTTCACCAAACTGCAGAAGACTTTTTCAAGTCTTCCCTTCCATGAGTGATTAGGGAAAAGATCTTGTGTGTTACAGCGGAAAGGGATTATAAATTCTGGCTAGTCAGCATCACCCTGCCCTTCTTCCACTGCCCACAGAACTCCACCCAGAAGTTTTTGGAATGGATTTTTGGGGTCAGGTACACATCATAATACTGTTCTCTGCTGATTCTCGAAGTAGCTATCCAAAATATGAGTACTGTATTGGATTTTCTGTAAAGCACGAGTGCCTGCAGAGCCCTCTCTCTCTGCTGCAGTTACACGTTTTATAATACATAGGAAAAGAAAGTAGAGCATGGGAAGAAAGTACAGAAAGCAGACATTTCTCACTTTTTAAATTTCTTCCCAAAGCTTTCTATTTTGCTACAGTATGCAATCCATCTCTCTTAATATT